CTCGGTTCAGAGGGTTTGCCTAGCATTCGAGAATGTGAAGCACTAGGTTGGATCCTCACACAGCAGAGTCTGGCTTGGTGCAAGCCTGTAATCGGAGCATTTAGCAAGTCGAAGCAAGATCAGGAGTTCAAGGTCATCTTCAGTTACAGTTTAAGCGCCCGAAAAAACAAAAGTATCTAGGAATGGAGACTATCCTCTCTCAAGAGATTGTGGCCTTGCTGGTGTGATGGCTCTGACAGAAAACACATTGTGTAAAGCCTGGGGACTGGAGTTTAACCTCTAGAGCCACGGTGGACGCAGGGAACCACTTTCAGAATGCTGTCTTCTTACCGATTTAAAAAGAGCATCTTGCTTTGTAGCCAGGTGGGCCTCAAATCTGCTTTGACTCTCCAGCCGAGTGTGTAATGGTGTACCACCAGGTTTGGTTCTGAAAATATTCATTTGAAGCCTGAACTGAGAAGAGTGTACATTCCAGAAGATATCTAAACTTGATCAGGGCTCTCTGCTCAGAGTTACCATTGGGAGGCGCCTGAAGGCTTCCGGGCCAGACACTATCTAGTGTTAGATACAAAAACTGAGGCCCTGAAAGGGAAGTCATTTTCACAGTGCAAAAATAGCCACCAGTGACTCAGCACAGACTCATTTGTGCCGTGCTTTTTCTCTATTGGTGTTTATTCCCTGAAATGTATCTTGCTGCTAATGAATGTGAAACTTCTTGTGTTTTATAATTGAATGCCTTAAATGAAAAGCTGTGTATTAGTGAAAATTCTAGGAGAATCTAGAAGAATGACTCCCCCCCCCCTTTTTTTTTTCTAGAGATAGGGTTTCTGTAGCTCTGGCTGTCCTGGAACTAGTTCTTGTCTCTCGAACTCACAGAGATCCGCATGTCTCTGCCTCCTGAGTGCAGGAATTAAAGGCATGCGCCACTTGAGAATGATCTTTCTAGATAAGGAAAATCCCTAAAGTTCATACTGCATAGGTTAACCCTGGCCCTTTGCTTTGTGTGAAGTGGGTTAAGGCGCACTAAGCTATCTCCATATGGTGGCTCACACCTACAATTTCAGCATGCAGAAAGGTGAGGTAGGAACTTGCCACTATTTCCAGGCCAACTCTGCTTACACAGTGAGTTCCAGGCCAGTCAGGAAGAAAAGAAGGAAGAAAAGAAGAAAAAAAAAGTAGAAAAAAAAGGTAGAGGGGAGATAAATGAAGATGCTTTGGAATAAACATAAAGACATCTACGTTCAAGTATCAAAAATGTTGACGATGAGGCTGGAGGGATGGCTCATCAGTAAGAGGACTTGCTGTTCTTCCAGAGGACCAGAGTTTGGTTCCCAGCACCTATGTCAAGAGGTTCACAACTATAGCCAGAGCTTTTCTGTGCTGCCCGCCAGTCCCACAGCTGCTTATGAAATAATCACTCAGAGGCTTAATAATAGTTATAATTGCTTGGCCAATGGCTCAGGCTTAATACTGGCTAGCTCTTACATACAAATTAACCCATTTCTAATAATCTGTGCATTGCCATTCGGCTTTGTGGTGTTACCTGCTCTCTAGTACATTTTACTACTCTGGCAGCTGCTGGCTTTTCCTCTTGACCCTGCCTTCTTTCTTTCTTTATCTGTTTGGATTTCCAGCCTAACTATATTTTGCTCTGCCATCAGCCAAAGTAGCTTTATTCATCAACCAATAAAAACAACACATATTTGCAGCGTACAGAAGGACATCCCACACCACACAACTGCTTCTAACTCCAGTACCGGGGGATCTGAAGATCTCTAATGGCCTTATCAGGCGTACAGCACACACACACACACACACACAGAGACACAGAGACACACACACACAGACATACACACAATTGTGCCAAATCTTTAAAAAAGCTAGGTATGGTGGTGCATATCTCTAATCCCAACACTAGGGAGGCAGATGGGTCACTGTGAGTTCCATGCCAGCCTGGATTATATAGCAAGTTCCAGGCCAGTCAGGACTTGTCTCAAACAAACAAACAAACAAACAAAAAATGAAAACCAAAAATGACTTTCCACTGGTAATTTGTCCATGCTCCTGTAAGCAGCACATCACAAAACGACAAAGAAGTCATGAAAGTAGAAGGGGAATGTGTTGGGAAGCAGGGGTTGAGAAGAGTTGGAGAGAGGAAACAGCATGGTATACGGTAATAAAGGGCAAAGTGACCAAAAGCATATGTGAAACTCCAAGGAGTAAAGCATATATGAAACTCCAAGGAGTAAAGCATATGTGAAACTCCAAGGATAATTTTTGAAAAAAATTCTACTTTCGGGCCAGGCAAGATGGCTCCATGGGTAAAGACACTTGCTTTCAAGTCTGAGGACCTGAATTAGATTCCTGGGACACACATGGTAGAAAATTGTTCTCTGGGGGGGCTGGAGAGATGGCTCAGAGATTAAGAGCACTGGCTGCTCTTCCAGAGGTCCTGAGTTCAATTCCCAGCAACCACATGGTGGCTGACAACCATCTGTAGTGAGATCTGGTGCCCTCTTCTGGCCTGCAAGCATTCATGAAGTGCTGTATACCTAATAAATAAAATCCTAAAAAAAAAAAACAGAAAATTGTTCTCTGATCTCCACATGGTGTGTGCAAGTCCATGCACGTGAGTGCACACACACACACACACACACACACACACACACACACACACACACACTGAATAAAAAGTAATAAAAATCTGCTTGGGCAGAAGAGGCATTTCAGTAGGAGGAAAGGTCCTTACTGCTAAGCCTGACCTCCTAGGATTCATCCCCAGGACTCATACATCAGATGGGAGGACAGCCTTCCCTGTCATACTGTCTTGACCTGTCCCATGTGTCCCTCCTTCCTTCGTGTCCCCCTCATTAAAGCAGAGGGCAACCCAGATGACCCCAGGAGACAAGCACATACTGAGGTATAGCTAGAAGTGTCACACTGTACATCAGGAATTATTTGGTGACAAACAATGTAGTCTATTATTCAGGAAGGTTTTAAAAGTCAATGGCCTCATAGTATTTGAAATGTGAGATAACAAGGTTGCAAGAATTTTAGGCTGCATTTCCTGACTTAAGAAGGACTCCATGGAATTTACTGTTTATTATGCCTGTTAGTACTTCTGTATGTACTTGGGTCTAACAAGTATCTGTTACTTAGGAAAAAGAGGAGTGCCTAAAGGCTTAGGAGATCATATTCCGAATTTGGAACACATCTAAAATCTTGTTCAGAGAGATGTCACCAAGTAAGGTCACTACCACCAAACCTCACGACCTGAGTTTGATCCTGGAACCCACATGGTAGAGGGACTCCCTTAAGTTGTCCTCTGACCTCTATACACTGTCTGCAGAACTGTCCACCCCCCAATAAATACAATGTGATATAAAAAAAAAAGTCAGCGGGGTGGTGGTGCATGCCTTTAATCCCAGCACTCAGGAGGCAGAAGCAGGCGGATCTCTGTGAGTTCAAGGCCAGCCTGGTCTACAAAAGCGAGTTCCAGGACAGTCTCCAAAGCCACAGAGAAAACCTGTCTCAAAAAAACCAACTAACCAAACAAAAATGTCTTGTTCAGGTTCCCAAAGAGTCAAGGAAACAGCTAGGTCAAATTGCTTTGTATCTAGGTGTGTACATTTGTAAATAACAACTCACAGGGTCCTCTTCTATGAACTAAAAACTCTAGACTCGGGCAGTAAAAATAAAATTCTGAAATCTATCCTTCAGAAGGACGCTAAAGACCCGAGGTTACATTGTAGAATTGAGATCCGTCCTAGTTTCATAAAACACACATAATGCATAAGGATGGATCGTCTTCAATCTAGCCAAACAGCGTACGTGTGTCAGTGCACAGAATGTATTAAGTATTCCTAGAGTTAGGCCACACAATCTATAGTCTAGTAGACTGATCATAAAGACAAAACAAGGTGTAAGTTAGGCAGGAAGGCAGGGCAGAAGGGGTGAGAAGTTTTGACACATAAAGTTTAAAGTGAAAGGAACTCACATGGGTGTATGGAAACAACCAGATTGGAGAAAGAAGGCACACTGGACAACTCCAGAAATTTCTACAACCAGGACTACCAACCTACACGGACTAACCCCAGTTTCTCCTCCAACTTAAGACTCAATACCGGAGAGAAAGGAATGGCGGGATGGCCGCCCGATGGGGGCAGTGGGTGTGGTGAGACGGTTAAAGGCGCTGCGGGAAGTAAAGCAGGCAAAGGAGGCCGTGAAGTGTGCGGACCGGAGAGGGCGTGGAGTGAGTGTGGATACCGAGGGGGACGGCCGTGGGATCCCCGGCTCTCGCAGGGGCTGCGCGGTGCGGCGGGGCTGCCGGCCATCCCGGCGCAGATAGGGTTAAGCGTCCGCGGCCGAGGGCAGAGCCCGGTTGCCAAGGAAACGGCTCCGCCAGTTCCGGCGGCGCGGGCGCGTACCACTGCGCGGGGGAGCCGGCGTGGAGGACGCGGAGGGCGCAGCGCGGCCGGCCGACTCCTGGGGTGCGGGCCCGCTTACCCCGGTGACTTCGGCGCTTCCCGCTGCCCGCGGCCGTAAGCCGTACCCGCCCGGCCTAGGCCGGGGAAGAGCGGCGCACGACAGCCTCGGAGTTCCCCCCCGCGCGGCGGCTGAGTGCGGGCAGCCCGGGGCTGGGCGGTTTGAACCGCGGACGGCAGACAAAGGCAGCAGGAAGCCGTCCGTAGCCCGAGTGCCCGGCCCGGGCCTCGCCGGCGCGCGCAGCAGCGACGCGGCCGGGCGCGGGATGCCGCAGGGCGCGGGGCGGCGGCGCGCGGGCGAGGACGCGGCGCCCGCCCCGGCCGGGATGTGAGGCCCGAGCGGCCGCGCGGGGGCGGGAAGGGAGGCAGGAAGGAAGCGCCGCTCGGACGCGCCGGGAGGAGGAGCGGCGGCCCGGCCGGAAGGCGGGGAGGGGCGGCCGTTGGCCCGCGGCGGCCCGCTCTCGGCGCCTCCCGGGGCGGCGGTGGCGCCCGCGCCTCCTGCACCCGGCGCGGCGTAGCGGCGGGAGGAAGATGGAGACCCACATCTCGTGCCTGTTCCCGGAGCTGCTGGCCATGATCTTCGGCTACCTGGACGTCCGAGACAAGGGTCGCGCGGCGCAGGTGTGCACGGCCTGGCGGGACGCCGCCTACCACAAGTCGGTGTGGCGGGGCGTGGAGGCCAAGCTGCACCTGCGCCGGGCGAACCCGTCGCTGTTCCCCAGCCTGCAGGCCCGGGGCATCCGCCGCGTGCAGATCCTCAGCCTCCGCCGCAGCCTCAGCTACGTGATCCAGGGCATGGCGAACATCGAGAGCCTCAACCTCAGCGGCTGCTACAACCTCACCGACAACGGCCTGGGCCACGCGTTCGTGCAGGAGATCGGCTCCCTGCGCGCTCTCAACTTGAGCCTCTGCAAGCAGATCACCGACAGCAGCCTGGGCCGCATAGCCCAGTATCTCAAGGGCCTGGAGGTGCTGGAGCTGGGAGGCTGCAGCAACATCACCAACACCGGCCTTCTGCTCATCGCCTGGGGGCTGCAGCGCCTCAAGAGCCTTAACCTCCGCAGCTGCCGCCACCTCTCGGACGTGGGCATCGGGCACCTGGCCGGCATGACGCGGAGCGCTGCCGAGGGCTGCCTGGGCCTGGAGCAGCTCACGCTGCAGGACTGCCAGAAACTCACGGATCTTTCTCTGAAGCACATCTCGCGAGGGCTGACGGGCCTCAGGCTCCTCAACCTCAGCTTCTGTGGCGGCATCTCGGACGCGGGCCTTCTGCACCTGTCGCACATGGGCAGCCTGCGCAGCCTTAACCTGCGCTCCTGCGACAACATCAGCGACACCGGCATCATGCATCTGGCCATGGGCAGCCTGCGCCTCTCCGGTCTGGATGTGTCTTTTTGTGACAAGGTGGGAGACCAGAGTCTGGCTTACATAGCCCAGGGACTGGACGGCCTCAAGTCCCTCTCCCTTTGCTCTTGCCATATCAGTGACGATGGCATCAACCGCATGGTGCGGCAGATGCACGGGCTGCGCACGCTCAACATTGGACAGTGTGTGCGCATCACGGACAAGGGACTGGAGCTGATCGCTGAGCACCTGAGCCAGCTCACGGGCATAGACCTGTACGGCTGCACCAGGATCACCAAGCGCGGCCTGGAGCGCATCACGCAGCTGCCCTGCCTCAAGGTACTTAACCTGGGACTCTGGCAGATGACGGACAGTGAGAAGGTCAGGTGAGGGCAGCAGTTCAGTTCCCCTGCCCCGCCCTGCTCATCCCACGACCACCACTGTTCCCGCACACTCACGCGCGCACTTACACGATCACGGCAGTGGCCGCGATGGGGCCACGACGCGAAGCCTGGGGTCTTTTCTCCTAGTCCGGCGCCCCTCCCTGCTGCGTCTGGGGTTCTCCTGCTCCCTGTACCCACTCTCCACTCCTTTCCCGGTGGGTGGAGAGATGGACGCTGCTGCTTCTGCCCACTCTTCTGCAGGGTATGGAGACTGATTCAGCCACCGCCAGCTGTATCCTGGGGCACTGCATTGGGAAATGGGGTGGGGGCGGGGAGGGACTAGGCGTTTCAACCCACGAGGAGTTGAGGAAAGATGTCTGCCTTCACTTACACTTTATTTGGATACTGTGATCTGGTTTTTATTTCGAGATGTGTAGAAAGCAAGCCCGACTCCAACAGCCTTTTCATCCACTTTGTAAACCAGCCTCTTCTCATCGCTGCTCCTTCGGTCCTCTGCGACTCACTTTGTTTTTATCTGCTTCCTTTTTGTTTTCAAAGAAATCTGAACTCATTGCCCCCCCCCGCTTTTTTTTCTGCTGAGTATATATATATATATATATATATATATATATATATATATATATATGTCTGGCTACCTCGTTTTAGTTTACTTTTTTCTTTTAAACCCTGAAATTCTACAAGAGAGATATTTTGAGACTGAAACATTTTTGTGCCTAGACTAGAAAGATGCCCACTGTTCTTCCCAACCTACATCTACCTACCCAGTGTGCCCCACTTCCGTATCCTGGCTGTGACTTTTCTTTTTTCCCTTGTCTATTGGGCTTTGAAGACCCAACCATGTTTCTAAATCTTGATTTAATTTATAGCACAAATGTATGGGAGAAATGAGAGTAGAGCTGCCTTTTTGTTCGCCGGAGATGCAGAGTGAGTCTTGAAGAGGAGTATTATATATGCAAATTATGCCCCACCCCAACCATCTTCCAAGTTTTCCCACAAAAAGGTTGCATAGTGAGGCTTCCTGTCTGGAGTAGAGCTCAGCGTTGGCCTGCAGAGAACCTGGGGCTGCAAGGGAAAGGGGGGAGACTGAACTTGACGTCTCATCTGTGTTCTGTTCATAAAAGGGGAGCTTGTGGGTCTGAAAAGCTTTTGTTCTAAATGGAGGAATAGATGGCTTTATTTTGGTGGGGGTTGGGGCTGTGGCTTAAAGCGCTTTTGAGTAGGATGTATATTTTTGTTGGATATTTTGTTTGTTTATTTTTTTAGAGTCCTCCACAGCAACATGAGAGACCATGGAGAAACCCAGAGACCTTTATCAATTAATTGTACTGTTTGTGAATTTGTATAAATGATAACAAAGATCCTCTTAAAACGTTTATATTCTTACAGTAAAAGGTTAAACTGATATTTATATAATAAAAGAGGAAATATGAAGTATGTTTTTGAGAAAAAAAGCACAAAATTCCCCCTGTATCTGTGAATTATTTTTAAGGCATTGTGTGTTGGGTATATGCTAAAGTGGGGGGTGTTACATGCACACCCTAAACGGAAGTTAAGGTATAGAGTTCAGTTTGTTCATGTGGGGTAAGTTCATGGTTTAGAATTTCTAATGTGTAAGATTTACCACTGACATCCAAATGTTTTGTTTCTAGAAATGTGACTAGACTGGAGACTTTTATAATTTTTTGTTTTAAATTGTCAACATGGAAACTGAAAGAAAATGAACAAAATGAAACTTTTTTTTTTTTAAAGAAACAAGACTTGGAAGAGTCAGTTTCCTAGAGTGGCCAGTTTCTTTTGGGGGCAGGGGCGGCGTGATTGTGGAAGTGAGGTCCAGGGGTAATCTTGAAGAAATGGGTCATGAGCTCTGGAAGTGGGCAAGTAGGATGGGTGTCCTACCCTGAGAGCACAGTGTGAGGGATGGAGGGAGCCCAGCCATTGTTCAGGGTAAGTTGAAAGCGCTCTCAGTCATGCGTGCTGATGTGCGTGTGCGCAGGTCCAGAGGAAAGGGGGCCGGGGCCGCATTGCACCTCTTTAACATTCCCCTCCAGGCCTGGCTGCACGCAGGCGCTTTTCTGGGGGGTAGGGAACCCGGCCAGAAGTTCTGGCACATTTGCATTTGAAGCCATTCTGGTGCCTAGGCTGGCCACTCAGCCACGGGTGAGGGTGTGGGCTTAATTCAGGGTGGATAAATGAATACCAACAATTTTAGCATAGTTTCCCAAGTAGACAATAGTGTGACTTTAGTTGGCTGGGGACAGAGACCTGTGAGTGCTCAAACAGCAGAGTGGTTTATCGCCCTGGTTTTACATAGGTGGACTTTGTGAGGTCACCTTCTCAACTTCTCTAGATCAGCCATCTTTCCAGACAGAGGCCTAGAACCCAGGTTGCTGTGGCCTTCGGGGCTCTTATAAAATTTCCAAGCACTAAGCTTGAACATAGCACAAAAGCTGCATTGTTCCCTTTCAGGAGTCACCAAAACGGGCTCTAAGTGAGTGACATTTGATCTGTCTTCCCTTTCTTTAGGGAGGGTGGAGATTTCCCTTAGTGCTGTTGCCTAAAGGCAAAACCACAACAAAAAGTGTGACCCCCAGTGAGAAGTGGTCTAAATTAGACCTGCTTCTGAGGAGTTGACCCAACTCCCAGGACAGCACTGTTTTTCAGTCAGCAAGAACTGGAACCACGTTAACATTTCTCACCTGATGTACAGAATAATCCCACCACTAATACTTTGGAACATTTTCTGTTTCCTTTTCAATGTAAATTTGAGGGGCTGGAGAGATGGCGCAGTGGTTAAGAGTACTTAATACTGCTCTTGCAGAAGACCCAAGTTCAGTTCCCAGCATGCACATCCCAGCTCATCACCTCCTGTAATTCCATCTCCAGGGAGAGCTAATACCTCTGGGCACAGACACACATATGTAAGTTTAAAGTAATAACTGTTTAAAGGTTGGTAAATTAGCATTCGACAGTTAAAGTCATGGATCTGTCGTCCACATCCTGAACTAGGCAAACATGCGGAGCTTCTCTGGAAAGCAGGGACCAAATGCTCTCATCTCACCCTTTTAGAATGTAAAAAGAAAATGTTGGGAATCCATGTGGCCTTCAAATGGTAGTTTTAAATTTTAATCCTTCAAGCAGCCTACTGAAACATCTCCCTGTTTACGGGAGGGGGGCAAGCTGCCTTACATTGCCTAACCAGTGGAGAAGCATGATTTGAACCAGTCCTAAGGATGGCTAGAGTCTGATTCGACCTTGGTTTCCTGTGAGATGACCCCCAAGTGAGCGGGAGCCGGCTGTACTCCGTGTGGATGAGCCTGGGCCATAGGCACTGCTTCAAGAGGAAGGAAGGGTGCAGGAAAGGTTGACCCTCTCCTACGTGGCAGAAGAGAGGTGGTTAAGGCTGCAGAGGCGGTAGCTCAGTGGTTAAGCACCTGTCTGCATGCACCAGGCCATGGGCTGATCCTCAGCACTGGAAAATATCAAAGACAAACAGGAACAGTAAAGAGAGTGAGTAGCACAAAAGCTAAAAGGGTACTTTGGGTCAGTTTTTAGAAAACAGAAAAACCATGGCTCAAGGATTTGGTGAAACTCAAATAGTTCATGCCTATAACCCCAACAGTGGCTAAGGCAGAAGGGTTACTTTAAGTTCAAGGCCAGTAGTGAATTCCAGGTCTGTCAGGTTACTGAGCAAGACCCCGGCTCACAGGAAAGGTCAACAAAGCCCTGGGGTAGGTCATCATCTCATCAACAGCAGCCTTCTCCATGAGTGTCTGCAATTGCAACTTTAAATGGGGGTTCAGACAGCTGCTACAGTGCTGTAGGGCTACAGTGCACCTCTGGCTACATACTAGGTGGTGGTGTAAATTTTCCCCTTGCTGAATCCCTCAGGCATTGCTGGCAGGAGGAGAGGAAGTCCTCTTGACTTAACTGCCCATGGCCGTGCAAGAATACTGCCTACCTCACACTTAAGCTGCTGCCAGAACCCTTAAAGAGAAAACAGTTTACCCCCCCCCAGGGTTTCTCTGTGGCTTTGGAGGCTGTCCTGGAACTAGCTGTTCTCGAACTCACAGAGATCCAACTGCCTCTGCCTCCTGAGTGCTGGGATTAAAGGCTGCGCCACCAACGCCTGGCTGAGAAAACAAATAAAAAAGAACTTTAAATCTATAATAAACATCTAAAAGAAAGTACATGTTCCTTCATTGTAGTTTTCTCTTAAGGCGGTGGGGGCTTGGGATGCCTCTTGGTTGGTAAAGTACTTGCCTAACACACATGCAGTCCTTCATTCCCCAACACCACATAACCCAGATGTGATAGTGCACTCCGCTAATCCCAGTACTTGGAAGAGCAGAACTTCAAGACCATTCTTGGCTACTTACTGAGTTGGAAGTCAGCCTGGGCTACATGAGAACCTGTCCCACCACACCCTAACCTCCCAGAAGAAATAAGGGCATGTGGTCTGTCTTCCAAACACTAGGGTTTTCCTGGAAAGGTGTTGATCTCGAGTTACATCCCTCATGGAGAACATATAAACTTGGAGGTTTTTTTTTAAGTTTTCTGTGTGAGGGTGTTGGATCCCCTGGAACTGGAGTTACAGACAGTTTCGAGCTGCCTTGTGGGTGCTGGGAATTGAACCTGGTCCTCTGGAAGAGCAGCCAATGAGTGCTCTCAATCTCCAACCCCTTTTTTTGTGTTTTAAGGCAAGGTCTCCCAATGTAACCCTGGCTAGCCTGGAACTCAAAATGTCCCAGCTAGCATTGAACCTCAACAGCTACCCTCCTGCCTCGGCCTCCCTCGTGTAGAGATTACAGACATAAACCACAGAGCCTAGCTTTGAACTCAAGCAAAGGAGGAAGTTGTAGTCCCTAGGGGCCACTGAGTTCTTAGGGAACAAGAGCCTTTTCATTAAGAGAGAATGATGTGGGAAGTCCTGTGATT